GCAACATTCACGCAAGAATTTGGAAATTCCTTCTATTTAATGAATAAAACTTCATGTTGCCTCGATTCCCTCCTCTGAGCGAGACAGAGCGCGCGGATTGACCACGGTCCACCACTTCTCCATGTTGGTGACTGCCCATCATCAATGATGAGCATTAAATTATGTGAAAGACATAATAGTTAATACGGGGGGTCGTACCGATACCCTCCGAAAAGGAAGGGGGTCGTAAAAATTTTGGAATTTGCGCAACGCAGGGTTGACCCTGCATTCATCACTTTCGGTTTCCTGACCGAAGTACACGTAACTGCATTTTCAGAAATGTCTTTACCGTTGAGCGTGAATGGGGCATCAGAAACCAATCCGTTTCTCATAAACATCGTCTTCGTTAGGTTCAGCTGCAGACCGACCTTACCACAGGCGCAGTCGAAATCAGCCAGCATTCGCTCCGCTTGCTCGATGTTCGGCGTTATAAGAACGATGTCGTCAGCAAAACGAAGGTGGTGTAGTTGCCGGCCGTCGACCTTCACTCCCATGTCTTCCCATTCCAGTTGACGCATGACGTTCTCGAGAGCGGCGCTGAAGAGTTTGGGCGAGATGGTGTCGCCCTGTCGAACCCCTCTCTTGACGTCGATGATGACCTCCTTGTAGAATGGAGATCCTGGTCGTAAAGTTGCTGTAGAGCTCACGAAGAATCTTGATGTACTGAGTAGGGACGCCCTGGTTGCCCAAGGCTTCGATGACCGCTTCTGTCTCCACAGAGTCGAAGGCCTTCTTCAAGTCGATGAACGTGAGACAAAGCGGCATCTTGTACTCTCGTGAAACTTCAATGAGTCTCGTAATCGTGTGCATGTTTTCGATCGTTCTGAATCTTTTGGAGAAGAAAAGGCTAATGTCGTCGGTTGACCCTACACATGCACCCAATCAGTCCGAATACCACAACGGTTCTCGGATGAAGGAGAAATGAAACATCCCGAAAAGGGTGGAGAATTTGGGATGTGCTCGTCTTATTCAATTGAAGCGCAAAACGCTGGTGCTTGCTCATGTTTTTCACCAACAACAAGCTGGTTGTTTCTTGACCTCCAGATATGGGTAGAAGGTCATTCTCGAGTCTCTCTGATTCTCGGAGAAATGAAATACTATTGCGGCGATATATCAAGTATACTTGGTGATGCTGCTACAAAGGACTACTCCAGGGTTGAACAAAACATCCTCATCCCATTCTAAGGTTCAAACGTTTGTTTGCACCATTCGAACGAGGGGGTCGCAATTGGGATTGAGGAAGGTCTGCACTCTGAGAAGAGACGATGGAAGTCATTAGAAGAGGACGAATGGGAAAGTCATTTGTGAAAATTAAAAGGGATGCAGTTGTGTTTTGTTTTGAGTTTGTTTTTGACAGTCTTTTGCAAAGAAGTGTGAAATAGACAAAGTTTGAGGTTTTGCCACCTCATTATATTTATCCCTTCAAGCGGTCGTTTTTGAGGACCAGAAGTGTGTCAAAGTTGCTAGTGGGAATTCCAGTACGTACATAGAGAACAGCGATGGTGACGAGAGGTGGACCTCACGTCGGAATGAGGAGGGAGTTTGGGGATTTCAGTGGTGAACGATCAGTCCGCCAGGTCAAGCGTGCGTTGAGGAATCCTCGACATGTCACAGAGGGGGGGGTCGTATTGGCCCGCTGGGGAGAGATCGGGCCCGATTGATACAGTAGGATCATCGTCGGAGGACAAACATTAAGGATCGAATCGATACCAGGCCAGAGTATTTCCAATAACAATTGATTCCGTCCACACAAAATCTTCGTGATTTAGAGGTGTCCGCTTAGCAATTCTTAGTGACTTTAGTGTTTCATCACCACACAAGTCAAAGGATCCGAAATTCGCACGTTTTCTAGGGATATTTTATCTTTCAAGTAGGTCCTCAAATCCAACGAGATGTGAAGCACACGGCGCATCCCAGAGTGGGCCCAGTTGGTTGCGCGCGCTTCAGCTACGGCTATCTTGATAACGAATCTTAATTCAGGAAGAATCAAGAGGGTTCTGAAAGAGTTCATGTTAAATTACAGAGAGGAGTACACTATTCAACAAGAAACGCAGCCTTCAGCGTCAAATTCACAAGCATGTAACCTTTAAAGTTGAGACCCGCTAAACAATTTTACACTTTTTGCAGAGAGAAAAGCACGAGGATTTTGAATCTGCTCCTACTTCAGTATGTAATCGCTCCTGCAAGGAGCTATAGTCGTTGGGATAGTGCTAATGTAGCGAAAAAGTACCTTTCGGCGGTACTCGGGCAAAAATCCTCAACGTGGCCATTTTTTAAATAGTGAACGTATTTAGCAGTTTTAGTTGCCTTAGAAAGAGCAAATCTTCTAGTTTATGATGACGTATTAACTTTCCAGATTGCATGAGTTTGAACGGAGTTATGGCTTTGGAAAGCGTAAAAACTCGCACTCATCACGAATTTTCCTCGTTAATTTTGCAAAAATCCTCAACGTGGCCATTTTTTGAGTACTGGACGTATGAAGCTGCTTTAGCGACCGTTTGATAGAGAAAATCTTCTAGTTTTGTATGACGTATCAACTTTTTGAATTTGACGGAAATGAAGCAAGTTATTGCTCCGGAAAGTGTAAAAACTCGTGCTCGTCTCGAATTTTCCTCGTTATTTGATCTAAATTTGTTATTTCTTATAACTTCCTGTAATTTCAGTACTGATTAGAAAAAGCTCTTCACAAAACTCCCAAATCAGCTTTCAGATTGAAAAAATTCGTTAACTTTGAAGAAAGTTATAATCATTTGAATATTTGTTCAAATTTCAATAGTAAATAAGCTGCTCCACGGTCAACGCCAAAGTCCAGTCAACACAGCTGGCGAAGGCTTTTACAAGGCTTCCTTTGAGCGAAAGGGGGACGTGTAAATTGAGAACCATAATCTGTGTAGTACTAGAATTTGGTAAGTCTTGTGGAGGAAATAAACAAAGAAGAGGTGTTGTCATAGTACGCCATTTCTAGTGACTAGTTTGACGTTTTTTGCTCCGTTTCTCGTTTGCTCGTTTGACAGGACTCGTCATTAATGATCATTCTTTGACTTTTTCACTTTTATACTTTTTAAACGAGTTTTTTGTGGACGATGGGGTAGCAGGGCTTTTTTATGAGCAGTTTTGGTGGAGAATTAAACAACTTTTTCATAGTTCGGCTTTTAAAGAGGGTTGTTTCATGGACTTCGGCCTTCGGCAGAGGGAGGGGGGGGGGTCGTATTTCCGAATTTTCCTCGACGCCTCGCTTGACCCTGGTCCCGCGTAAAGGTTTGAAGTGTGGTCACCACGGCTGGAAGAATCCCGATTGTTTTTATCGAAATGCTAAGTTAACATTTACCAGAATATATCAGAATATCCTTGGAAATGTCTTCTAAAGCTTCTTACGATGTAAAGAAATTACTCGTAACTTCTGGGATAATTAAGGTGTCACCACGAGCATTACCAAACGTGATAGATGGCTCCCCAGTTCTCCTAACAGTAATCCGATACATTTTTTTTTCTGCATGGGCTGTGTGGAAAAACCACATGCTCTATCCGATCCCGATCCTGGACTTCTCTGAAACGCTGTTTCTAAAGTCTGGGACGAAATTGGTGATCCGCCCAAACTACTTCCATACTGTATGGGGGCGTCTGTTAAAGAATTGTAGAACTGACCACACGAGGAATTTCGTAAAAGTGCACGAGGATTAAAGCCGATCATTTTTTTCTTTTTTTTTTCTGCTGAATTTTGCATCGTCATGTTTGTTATAAATGATGGTCTTGCTCGGAATTATTTAAAAAGCTGAGGTCAAAATATAATACCATCAAATTATTGGTGTATCAGTAACTTTGCCTCGCTCCGTCCAATGTTACCGTTTAGAATACTTTACATAACATTACCATTTTATAGTAGGAATAGTTCTACAATGTGATCGCTATCTGATCGTTCCAGCGATGGCAAATAGGTCTGCACTGCAGGCACGTCTTATCGTAACTTACTATCGCAGTGTTGCTCACTTTAACTCATGCTTACAGACACCATGACCTCGTACCTCAACGGAGTCCGACAACTTTCGATTTAGAAGATTATCGCATGCGATTGCAGCATGTGCTTATTTGTTCGCCAGCAAGACACACGCGTAGGTATTACTTACGAATTCTCTTCAAAATATTAATTCTAGGATCGGTGAGAAAAAAGAAAAGGAAAATGAAATCTCATTACAGCCAGCGATCAACTAAGTTTTTTGGTAAACATGATGTGAGCCAACTAGGACGAAACACGCCGTGTCGGCGACCTTGCGATAAGGGTTCGCGGCACCCACCTAGTTATTGCGCCTGATGACCTAACACTTTATTCCAAATTTTTCTGTATTTCACCAATTTCTTGGTATATTTTCAGAGCTATGCCTACATTAACTCCAATAGAGCCTGTAACACGCGTTAGTCCCTTGGTGATTCGTATTTTGGGTCAAAATCCTGGACCTTTCACTCTACAGGGTACAAATACCTATCTTGTAGGAAGTGGGAAAAAGTAAGCATTTCAATAAATTCCTGGATTCAACATGACGACATTGATACTTTGTTTAGAAAGATTTTGATCGACACTGGCGAGCCAAACGTCCGACAATATATCGATTTCCTCCAATCTACGCTAGCGGTAAAACCTATGTTTCTATTGCTATAGTTCTCCTATTTTCGCTCGTCATATTTATTACCATCAAATTCCGCTTTTTTCTTATGTCACGGCGGAAATCGTGTAAACATACTGGAGTATCCACAGCAATAATTTCAGTGTACGCCATAGTTTGTAGATTGATTTCGGCAATATATGACAATTTCTCTTCTAGCTATCCAGGAAGGGCTCACTATGATCACTGAATTGTACGTTTAGTGCTACTGAGTGGCTACCGTAATTTGGAATGCCGGAATATAAATTATGGACTGGTTCTCAGTCACATACACACGTGAACAGTGTATGCGACTAAAGCATTGTAGTCGTGACGATTAGTTTAAAGGCACATTCCACGATCAAATCATTGGACCCATCCTTCTTTCGTATAAGGTTGCTGGGCTCGTAGCTGCAAGGATAAGATCACTTATGCCTTCAAAAGTTCGTGCAGCAGGCATTAGGGGCTCAAAAGCTGCAGCCATAGACACCTCGAGCACGCATGTTCATCGTTGCGGTATCTAGGTCTCGGATCTCGATAGTTTCTCATACTCTCTCTTTCTTCTTCACTAGCGACTCAGTCACTCCTACAAATGTGATATTTGTACTACGCAACGACTGGTCAGGATAAGTATGTTTATGAGGACGAATCACCCTTGGTGCAGTGTCACTTCGGTATTAGAATGATCGTGTGGTTATTCATTGGGGACTAGTCAGTTTTTATGTGTAGTGGTATACCAGTAAGTCTCATCTTGATTTTGTGAGATTCGC